TAACAATAATTTATTTTTTGATGAGCACCAAAGAGCCCCATTACTCAAAAGTGAATCTTCGGAGGAACGAGATTTCTTTGGACAACCAACAAATGAAGATAATAATCAAAAAAGGGACGAATTGTTTAAAGAAGCATCCCTTTCTGGTTTTTTAAAATAATTTTTATTTTGTTTCTTTTTTAATTTTCAGAAATTCCACATGCACCGATGGTGCAGAAGAAGAAAATAACTGTAAGTATTTCTTTACTTGACTTTTGACCTAAAAAATTAATTTTTCTGTGGAAGTTTACTATTTTAACTCTAACTATAGGATTCGAATCCCACGCAAGAGAATCCACAAAAACCCCACTTATTGTTAGCTTGGCCAGAAAAACGTAGTCGAGATATTTTTTGGAATTATGTATTTAGAAATTAAATAAAGCTAAATAAACTTTTTTGGCATATAAAGAAGCTGAACTGACGCTATATGCTATAATCCTTAAATCATTTTATTTTTAATGTTAGCTTGGCCAGAAAAAAGGAGGCGGTTTAGGTGCTCAACGAATAAGAATGGTAAATTAATTTATTTTTTTCTAAAATTAAATTTTATTCTTCTAGAATTTTACTGATGTTGAACAAAAAGCAAATGAATTTGACAAAGCACAATTTGATCGTCTGCAAATGCAACAAACACAACAAACAAAAGATGATATTAAATCTAGCGGAGATGATAACCTGCATTCGCTTTCTTCTAAATTTATTATGCAAAGTATTTCTGACAAAAAGAAGGTTTAATAAATTAAATTATTAAAAAATAAGTACTGACAGCATTTTTTGATTTTATATTTCTGTATATTAGGAGTTTTTTCTTAGGATCATAATTTTAGTCGATTACATTACTCTTAAAATTTGTTAGGAATCTGGCATTTTTTTCATTATCCTACCGAATCCAGAGTAAAATAAATTTTAATTTTTTCGACCACTTACAAACCTGGAATTTATTTTTATTTAATTAAAGGAACCAATTGCTGATCCAAAGAAGGCTGAACAAGCTGAACGATTAGGACTTTGCGGTCGAAATGTGGGCAGTGGAAGCATTAGTCACTCTATTACTGGTGGAATACGTACTATTCAACAAGAAGATGTTTTTGGTTCTAAATCGAGAAAAGGTTTGTTCTAAAATTTTCGTCGATGAACGCAAAGTTTCATTTTTTCTATAATTGAATGTGTCGGGTCTAATAATTTAATAACTAAATTTTAGGTCGTGATATGTCCTACGCTGGAAGCGGCAAAATTTCTGATGAATGGGAAGTTATTGAAAGCAAAGGAAATAAATTCGGTACAAAAACAGCTTTAGGTTCAGGCTTTGAAGAAGATGAAGGAAATGAAGAATTTTTTGATGCTTGGGACAAAACGTCATCACAGAAGAATGATGGGGCGAGTGATTTATTCCAACAAAAGTCAAAAAGAAAATCGCCATCTCCTGTACCTCTTGTTGTAACCAAATCTCCGGCGAATGCTCGCAATGTTGGGAATAATAATGGTGGGGGTGATGAAGCAGTAAAGAAGTTTAATAAAGCAAAAGCTATTAGTTCTGATCAATTTTTTGGTCGAACAGGAGAAATGGATGTAAGTTGGAATTTCTTTTTTGGCCTTATGTTTGGTCCTAAAATTTATTTTAAATTTATAAAAAAGATTTTGGAACAATCATAACTGAAAAATTAATTTTTACTAACTTTAAATAATTTCTCGTCTAGTTTCTTTTCGATTAAATTTTATTATTTTAAATAGATGGATACACGTGCAAATTTAAGTCGTTTTGAAGGGCAAAATTCAATTGGAAGTGCTGATCTTTTTGGTAATTCTAAAGGGGGGCAACAACAAACTACACGTGGATGGTCTACTTATTCTGAACAAATACCTGAAATGTCTGATATAAAAGATTCTGTAGTTCAGGTTAATTTTTAAATATAAAAGAAAGCTTGGGATGTTTTCTGCGGATTTTTTTGTAATTTTTAGGATTAGTTGGATTGTTTTCGTGTCTAGGGTTGTCGGTTTCCCCTGATTCATCGGTTAACCGAAATCGAACCTACAACCCTACTTATGTCAGTTAAAATTTTTGTTCAAAATTTAATAAACTGGTAGCAAAAATCTTTCAATTTTTAAGGGTATGAGCAAAATGACAGAAAAATTATCAGGGTTAAGCAGTTCAGTTAGTTCTTATCTTTCGGTTAGTTTTTTTAAATTTTTTTAAATAAATATATTCGGTGGTATTTCTCTTCTCTTTTTTTAAATAAAAATCTTCGGGTCTCGATTTTTTAAACAAATTTCGTTAGTTCTTCTAAAATTTTTTCATTATTTTCTCAAAATCTTAAATATTTTTATTTTCCACAAATTAAAAAAGAAAATATTGCTTTTAGAAAACCCCAACAAAGGGCTGATCAAAAGGCAAGTATGTCACTGATTATTTTTTTGAATTTAATTTCTTTTCTCTATTTTCTTTTATCCTTTCGATTCTTTGTTATTTTTTTGTTTTTTTTCCATTTCTTTTTCAATTTTTGTTTTTAAATTTTTGGTCATAACAAAAATATTTTCTTATATTAATATTTATCTTGTTCCTACTAAATTTCATCTTTTGGCATTTGATTTAAGAAACTAAATTTTTATAATTAAAAAGCTCAATATTTTTTGTTATGACTTGTTAATTTTAATAACGGCAATTGAATTTAATTTTTATTTAAATTTGTTTTAACAGCTAGAAAATTAGAATTTCAGTCTATTGCCGTTATTGTTATTTTATTTAAAAATATTTTCTGATTTAAAAATTTTTTATTTAAAGGAACGATATTGACAAATGTGAATTGCTTCATTTAATGGATTTGTGAGTGAGTGATTGAAAATTAAGAAAAGAAAATTTTAAAAAGAATTTGTCTCGCCGTCCCTAAATTTTCCCTTATGTATTACTTTTTGAATTTTAATTTAAAAAATTTTCCTTTTCAAACGTTAGAATTAAAGTTTTAAACATAAAATGCACAAAAATTCAAATCTTTTCCTTTTTCGAAATTATTTTAAGTTAATTCCTGTTTGCCTATTTAATTCTAACATATTCCAATCTTTTTCTATAATTCTAAAATGATATATGTCGGCGGTAAATTTCAATTTTAGGAAAATTTCAATTTTTCCGGAAAATTTCAAATTTTCCGGAAAAATTCAATTTTTCCGACGATTTAGGAAAATTTCAGTTATTAATAAAGTTGTCAGTTGAGTCTGGGCTAGTTTTATGTTTTTTGGTGTTGTTTGTGTTTTTATGATTGTTTTTGTTTTTTCTGGGTTATTTATAAATTTTTTTATTTAGACAAGATTATCATGTATAAGTTTGGATAAAGTTACGACACGAAAACAAACAACGTAAACCTATGGGGAGTCGGCGAGACGCTTGTGCAAAACCCCGCGCTTCGCGCGGGGTTTTGCGGCACGCGTCTCGCGGGAGTCAACGGTCGCTGGGTTCTACACTAATACCATAAACCTATTCCTTTTAACGATTTTCAGCATTAAATGCCAACCTAACCATTCAGTAGTAGCACAAAAAAAACAACTAAAAACAAAATTAAGAAAAATAAACGAAAATATTTAAAAAAAGTCAAACAAACCAAAAAACAAAACATAAAACAAAAGAAAAACAAAAAAGAAAAACATACTCAAAAACGAAAAATAAACGAAATAGTGCTAAACAGACTATTAAATTAATTTAATAACTGAAATTTTCCTAAATCGTCGGAAAAATTGAATTTTTCCGGAAAAATTGAAATTTTCCGGAAAAATTGAAATTTTCCTAAAATTGAAATTTACCGTCGACATATATACTTTCTAGTAATTTACCTGTAAATGTTGAAATGATTCCTTTTTTCTACATATTAAAATAATTTTTAGATTGTTGAGTTTGTTGAAAGATCAAAAACGCTTGACAATTTAAAAATTTGACAAGGATTTTTATTCTTTCTAGTATATGTTGTGGTTAAAATATTTAGAAAAAATATTTTTTATCTGAAAGTGGACTCGTTTAATTTTTCCTGAATATTCGTCAAAAATTATTTTTAGCTACAACATATAAAAAAAATTTAAAATAAAAATGTTGTATTGAGACAAGTTGTGATATTTCCACAATGTTATGATTGATAAACTTTCGAGAATTTAATTTTTCGATTTTTATAACAAATTAAATTAATAATTTATTTAAGATGGCACAAAATACAATAAAATAATGAGGAAATAAATGTTTTAGAAAGAAAACAAAAAGTTAGAAAATTAATTCCTTAAATTCTCTTATTTCCTTCACTGATCAAGTATTTAATAAGGAAAAGATTCAGGACTGTCGTCCCTTTTGTTTTACATAAACCTCTTTTAATCAAACACTAAAATATTATTCTTCCCAGAGGTTTATGCAAAATACAATTTCCAAAATAATTATCTTTCATTTATTCTTTTTTCTAAACTTTTTTTAACGTCCAATGACTCCCTCATTCCTTCATTTGGAGATTCAAGAGATTTTGAATTTTGATAAGTTTTCCTCACATTTTCTGGTGAAAGTCCAATCTATTTATTTTAAATGTTTTTAATTTCTATTTAAAAAATTACTGCAATTTTGATAGGCAAAATTTTGTTTTGTGAAGAAGTTGGAAGTATCGTTTCTCCATTATTACCAATCTTTTTAAAAGCATCTTTGAAACAAATTTTTTGTTGGGTATTTGCTGATTTTATGCTTTCTATTTAAATTAAAAAATAAATTATTCAAATAATTGGAAATTATATTTAAGGATTTTACTAAGTGACTATAAATTTCTCAAATAAATTCGCCCAAAATTCGACTTTTTTAAATTCATATTCATACAACAGTTTGACGTTTGAAATTGGAAATTTAGAAAATATTAGGCGTATTTGAAATTTAAAAACAATTTTCTGAATGATTTTCAAGTTCCCAAAAATTTTATCCAGAAGTGTCACTAAATAATTTTCTTCATTTTTCAATTACCTGTTCTACTAGTATTTGTTGACAATATTTTTCTTTCACTATTATTTTTTGTCACTGAAGATAAATAAGATGGATTCACAATCTGACATTTTTTGGGTTTTTTAAAAGGAATTGCTGCGTAAACAATTGGAAGGACAACAAGTCCATGAAATAGTCCAAGTGAAATTACGAGAACAATTACTTTGACAAATACCTAGAAAAAATTTGGAATTTTTTTAAAAAATATCTCTTTTTCATTTACCTGTACCATATAAGCATGTACAAGTACTAAAACAAGTAAACTAAGTACTGTAGATAATGCTGCCTGAAGCATAGGCCAAGCAATTGAACGTAATGCATGCACCAAACGTTCTCTACAGTCTTCAATTTCTCCTTTGTAGTAATGAAAACTTATATGGGCGACAAAATCTACTGAGAGACCTATTGCCATTAAACTGAAAATAAAAAGAATTTTAAAATTTGTATTCGGTTAATGTTGAATTTTTATGTAAATAATTTGTTTGCGCCTCGATGTCGGTGGTTCAGTCGGTAGTGTCTTAGACTATGTAGCAGTGAGACCGAGGTTCGAGTCGCATTGGTGGATATTATTTTTAATATACCATTTATAAAAAATAATTACGTTGTTGTCATCGAAATTGGGTCCAAGTCAATACTCCAATAAAATAAAAGGCCAAAAACTCCAATATTAATTGATAAAACAGCAGCAGTCCCAGGCAATATTGTACTCAATGAAGGAGTAAATAATATAAGGACAATAGTCATGCATAAAAGTGCAAAGCCAACTTTTTAAAAAATAATAATTTTTTAAAATAAAATTAAAAACCAGTCTGCATTGTTACTGGAGGAATACTTAGCAATTGATCTGCATACATACTTTAAATTAAATTTATTTTTGTTGAAAAGTTAAATAAATTTAAGTATTGTTTATTTGTAAATTTCTGTCTTATTTTAGAAAAATAATAAAAATGTTCTCTTTAAGGTTTTAGAAATTCTAAAATTTCTAAATATAAAATTATATAATAATTTTGAAAATTTCAGATTTTTTGTGTTAATTAATTTTTATCCGAAAATAACGTCTATTGTCTAGCTAGGAGTTGCAGATTACAAAGGGATTAGGTAGTGAGTTCGAATTCACCCGAGATGAGAATAAGGTGTTGACTAAATATTTAAGGTATTTTCTGTTTAAAAAATCAACCTAAAATCTTCGTAAACAGTTAAATTTAAATGAGAATAATCATCTGCCAATCTCCTCCAATTTTGAAGTAAATCTAATCTGTCCTTCCATTCCACAGCATTTCTAAAGCCAGTAGAAAAAAAGAATTTATGGACACAAGAAGGACGTTCATTTAAACATTCTCTATTTTTAAAAATTAAAAAGGATTAAATTTCAAAGAAAATACTCTTTAGTTCCAAGACTAACAAAATGACTCCAACGATGATATTCGGTAATTGCAAAAAAGTCGTAGAGGTATTTGTATCGAAAATCAACTGACCCTCTATTCTTAAATATTTAAATAATTAAAGGGATAAAAAACAAAGCTAATGAAATTATGGTTAATGTATTTGCTAAAATAATTACTCAGGGTAATTATTGTTTCAACCTCTTGTGGAGGGGTAATTAAAAGGGGGAGGGGTAATTATTCGAGATTTTTCTAAAAAGGCTAATTATAACTATTTTTAAGAGGGGTAATTATTTCTAAGATCTCTGGCTGTAGGGGATAATTAATAGGAGAGGGTAATTATTTAAGAGAGCAAATTTTTGAGTTAATGGTTTGAGTTAATGGTATACCATAAATAGAGTCAGGATTTTACTCCTCTTTCCAAACAGAGAATTAAAAAAAGTAGAAAAGAGTTTTATTATTCCTCGAAATATTTTTTAAATTTACTTGTAATCCAATAAAAGGCAAATAAGTATTTAGCCACATTTGTGTACTCGAAGCTCCAACACTTCCATAAGCATGCTCAAATCTTTCTAAAATTTTCATAATTTCGGGTACAGCCTCGGGATGCCGAAGATCCCCAGGATTGTTAATAAATACTGACATCTTAAATAAATATTTTTTAAAATTAATTTAAATTCTTCGAGAACCTGTCCTCCTTCTTTAAATATAACATTTGTTTGTAATCTAACCTAAATTGGATTTAAATTAAAAATAATTATTTTTTAAAATTTAACTAAACCAATTCTAGCAAAGGAGAATCATCCAAAAATAATTTTTCTGATGTTAATCCAACACGAATTTGAGAAACTGAAAATAAATTTCGGAGTTTTGACGGACTTCAAAATTTTTAAGGAGAACCTCCATAAGCAGAAAAACTCCAATAAATAACCATAACAAATAAAAGTAAAATTCTCGCTGTCCAACTCATCACAAAATCAACATAAATATTAATTAAATTAGATGACCAACGAATTAATATTTTTGTAAATTTTTTTGTAGAATATTTGTTGTTATTTTTATTAATTTCCAAATTTTTGTTTAAATTGTTGCCGTTAATTATATGCTGCAAAGTAATGTTTAATTTAAATTTTTGGAAGAATTTCTTTTAATTAATTTACTTTAAATTTTTTGGATTTAAAAAATAAAAAATAAGCATTTCTTTCAGACATTTCTCTACGCCCCCCAATTGTCATAATTGCCGTATAAAAAAATAATTGGTAAATATATGCAGAAAAGACAGCCGTTGAAATAAATATACAAAATGTCTGAAAAAGTATTTTTTTGTTAATTTTTAAGTTTGTCGAAAATTTGGGTAATTTATGAATAAAATTAATGTTTTACAATAATATATGATTAAATAATTATCTTGGGAATTTCAACCTTTCACTGGAGGGGGAGTAATTAATATTTGAGAGAAGGGGGTAATATAAGGATTTAGTAAAGGGGTTCATTAAAATTTTGATTACTTTTAACAAACTTTCAAGTCCCCTTTCTACTTTCAAAAGACAACACTTTATCATAATCTATAGCAAAAATTATGGAATAATTTTTGAACTAAAAGGAAGGCTATAGAGACTACTTAAAAAGGCTTTGGAAAATCTAAATTCCGTTAAAAATTTTTCTTTAAAATTCATTTTTCTAAGAGTTTTGCAAAATAACAAGAAATAATTATTAAAAAATACCCGAATAGCAGGTGTCGGTGTAGCTATCCCAATCGTAAAACTTAGCCAATTAGTTAAAGAAGTAATTGTAATTGATGGCCCAGCACTCCCCAACATATCGGCAATTCTTTCTCTTAAAGCTTTTTGGGGGTCAGTATTTTCCCAACAATGAAGAAAAATAAAAACATCGTCAACTCCAATAGCCAAAACAAGAAAGGGGACGACAACAACAATTGGCAAAAATTCAAAATTGAGCTTAGAAAAGAATATTTTTTATAAAAATATTTTAATTAAGAATACCCAAAATAAAATTCCAAAAGAAGCAAAAATTGAAAGAATTGGACAAAAAACACCAAAAAGGGATTCCCAAGGTTTACTTTTTATTTGATCACTTTTTATTGAAGTAATGACCTAAAAAATATTTAAAATTGTTATTAAATAAATTTATTATAAAAATTCCAAATTTTTGGTTAATTCCTTTAATTATCAGAATTTTTTCTATTAATTATAGAAATAATTTAATCACTAAAGAATTCGATATTTACGAAGAAAATAAAAATAATAGTTTTCTGCTTAACCAAAAATCCTTAGCTTTTATTCCCAAAACTTTTTTTCAAATTTTTAAACCCCTCTCCTCCCAAAAAATTAAAACAAAATAATAACCAAACCACCATAAAAATCATAATGACAAGTAGACTAATAGGCATTAAAGGCAACACTTCAATTCCAGTCCTTCTAACTTCTTCAGACACCAAACCTTCGGAAGTAACAAATAATCTAATTAAAGGGTCATTTAAAGTTTCAAAAGCATAATTAGAAACTGCATGTTCCCATTTCTTCATAACTCTTTCCATTGTTGAATTTGGATATATTGCATGGAAATTAATTGCTATTAAATTAGCACCTTCAACGAGGCGAGATCTTTTTTAAAAAAAATTTAAAGTTTAATTTGGAATTGGAACTATTTAAAATTTAAAAAATATAAAGGTTAATTTGAATATCAATATTTTAATTATATTTTTATAATAAGTCAAGTTTATGTCTGTAAAATTGTCTCCAAAAACCAAAATATTCCCGAGAAAACTCCTTTATTAAGTCGTAGACAGTTCTAAAAAATATACGTATTGTTGTGATACTCAGATTTTATTTTTACATGTTAAAATCTTTGTACTATTAATATTTTTTATAGGAATCAAAATTTAAAACCAAAAACTTCAATATTTTAAAAGAAAACAATTTTCAAAGTAAATTTCTTTCAAAATATTTATTTAAACCCCTCTTCCTCCTTTACTTACCTATTATTTAATTGTACTTGAAATATATTATTAGCCAAATAAATTTTATGTCCAAAAACATCAATTGTTGGGAAAGTTAATTTAATATTATTTCCCTTTCCTCTATGCTTTACATCTCTATAAACTGTCAGGAAAATATTTACAGCATCAGAAGTTTCACATTGAGCACCACAAAAATCACTATAAGAATAATATTTGCCTTCATCTTCTACCTTAAAAAATTATTTAATTAAAAGTTTTCCCAGAAAAGAGTAAAAACTCTATGAGTTTAGGGAACAGTTTTTAAATTAAATTTTTACACAAAATCTTGGCAAAATGTTTGGCAAAATGTAAATATTTTTTAATTTCCCTCAAAAGTAAATTTTCAAAATTTCAAATTAATTTCCTTTTTTTACTAATAAATCTCCAAACTTTTTTTTTAATTTTTTAATTCACACCTTTAATTTATATTGTAAAAAATCCTCTATTTCCAAAGCTTTGTCTATATATCTAAAATTAATTTAAATTAATTTATTTAAATTTATTTTTACTTTGGCCTTAATAAACTTTCAAAATCAACTGCTTGTATTGCAACAACTACATGAAATAATCCTCCCAATTCTTTAAAAAATTCTCGTGCAACTAAAAATTCATAACGACTAGGTGAATTATCTGCACTTAAAATTATAAGAAAAATTATTATTTTTTCTTTAATTTTTAGGCAAAATTTACCTAAAATGATCTCTAACATTATTTACTTCTTTAAAATTAACAGCTCCAGAACCAAGCAACACAGCAACATAACCTGCAACTTAGAGCCGTTTCAGTGGCACTGAAATAAATAAAAAATTTTCTCTTTTTCTATATCGCTCTATTTTTTTCGCATGCTATTTCTCCAAAGATTTGATGTATAATTTCGAGAAGCCTTATCTCGGAAAAAAACTTTGAGAAAAAAATTTCAACTTAGCCAAATCGTTAAACAAAGTCTTATCTTTGTTTTAAAACCAAATTTATTGATTTTTAATATGTTTAAAAAAAGTTACATATGGCTTTATAAGTAAATTTAGAAAATGAAAAATAAAGGAAAAAATTGTTTTGAAAAAATTTATTTTAATTTAAAATGACATTAAATGTTAATTAGAAAAGATATTATTAGGATTTCCTTATTATATAATTAATTTTCACTGAAAGGATTCGAACCTCTTGCATTTTTCGCTGCCACTAACCAACTAAACCATACTCCCGCACTGAAACGCTGGTTGCACCCTCTGCCTGTTTTATGTTGCTGTGAGCAATATAGCTAATAAAATACTGAAAAAATATAAATTAAAAAAAATTAATTTAGGCTTCTGAAGGTCTAAAGGTAAAGATATTTTGAATTAGAGACCGGCGCTGGACGGGATCCCGCACATTTTTCGATTTGCGGGATCCCGCGGGATTTGTCCCGTGGTATCCCGTCCCGCAAAGATTTAATCCCGCATGCGGGATTCCGTAAACGCGATTTTGCCGGTCTCTATTTTGGATAAAGAAAAATTTTAAATTTTTACATTCTGCCAAAACGCTTTTAAAAATTTTTTGCAAAATTTTAATTTAAAAATGCAAAATTAAAAATTTATTCTTTGAAAATAAAATAAATTTTCTACAAAGGTCAGTTTTATGGAATTGTCCCTTTATTTAAAGAATAAATCCTAGGTTTTCTTAAAACATTTTATTCTCTCCAATAGAAAGTAGTAAATTTCAAATATAAATTTTTAAATTTATTAAAATAACTTTGGGAATTTATAAGCAAAAATAAGCTTATGTAGTTTACCCTTATTATATTTTAGAAAAAATTTTTAAAAATTTACGAAATAAAAATAACAGTCCAGGGACAATAAGAGACAGAATATCCAAGTTGTCTAAATCCATATTCAATTTTCTTTTCTGCTTTTTCAGTTAAATTATTACAAAATAAAGTTATTGACATTCTTCTAATTAATTAAAAATATTTTTAAAATCAAAACATTAAAATATTTTCAATATTTTCTTGGATATTTTAGCTTCTTTTAGTTGGATTAAAGAGAGAATATAGAGAAAAAAGAAAACCGGTCATTTAAAAATAGACGTCGATTAGTGACGACGCAAATAATTTTCTTTCTTTTCTTTTAAAGAAGCGGAACAACAACCAAAAAAAGAGGGAGAATTAATTTTTTTGAAAAATATTTTTTATTAGCTGACCATTTATTTAACAATTTTTTAAATTTGAACTTTTTTGGAAAATATTGTGTAAAAATTTTGTAGACATTAAATTTGGGGGAAATTTAAAGGAGAAAGATTATTTAATAAAAAAGCCAGCAATAATTAATATAATAAAAAATAATCATTAAAAATTAATTAAAGATAACTACTACTATTGTGTTAATCTTTTATTGTTATTCGTTTCATTCATTAAATTAATCTGATCAATTAATTACCGATTAAATTTAAAATAAAGTAAACGGAGCAGAAAAATTAATTATTATTAAATGATTAAAAAATTATGAAGATCTACAAAAATTCATTAGGAAAACTTTTTATCTAATGAACAATAATAATCAAAAATCTCCAAAAAATTGATCCTTTTTTTTATTTTACCACATGATTAATTTAAATAATTGAAGAAAATTTTTTGACTCATTTAATCCTACTTACATATATCATTAAAAATATTCATTAATGAGGTTTTTTTCAAGTCAAGAAAAAAAAAGGAAAAAATTTAGGTCAACGATTTTCCTTCATTTAACAATTTAAAAGTGTTTGTACGATTAGTTTGTTGCTCTTTCTCTTTTTCAGGTCAAGAATGGAGGAGAAAAAGGCTTAAACAAATTGCTAATATTTTTTAATTTAAAATTTAAAAAACGAAATTTTTGAATAGAAAAATTAAATTTTAAAATTAATTCAGGAAGTTAAAAGACCTCAAAAAACTTTTTAGAAAAGCAAAAAGATAAATTAAAATTGGGCACACAACGGGGAATAAACGGTATATCAATTCTTTGGTTCTGTTATTGCCAGTCATTAACTTGATCCAAAATCCGATACTTCTGAAATTAACATCCTTCAACCAGCTTGACGTGCCTAGTCGACGAGACTAGTTTGTATATTTTGACGCAAAAATTTTTTAATAACGAAATTAATTATTTTAGTTTATTTTCATCTCCAATTTTTTAAGAAATTAAAAAATTTTTTTAATTTCTTCAACTCTCCTTTCTTTAATATTTTCTAGTATTGACTAATCAAAAATATTTTTTCTTCTTTATCTTCAAAAAGAAAGCACATAGGGAATAAAAATATAGAAAAAAGCTTTTCAAGCAAGGAAAGCACAGCTGCTAAAGATTTTTATGTCCTTATTTTTTAAGAAGACTTTCTCCAAGGCATTGATCAAGTTGATCAGACAAGGAAAAATAAAAAAATAAATGAAGGAAAAAGCCTTTAAAAGAGAAAAATATTTTTTTTCAGTCTTGCCAACAATAATAAATTGGAAGTTAAAGAAAAGAAAAGAAGAAGCAGGCAGGGGCAGCACTTGGTTTTACTTGTTTTGTTGTCAAAAACACAAGTTTTTAAGGACTTTTTTGTTGGAGAGAAATGCTCGCCCCCGTATAAAAATATATTTTCATCTGTTCGGCGTTCATCATCGACTTTTATTTTTTTACATTTTTTAGTTGAAAATCTAAAAAAGCTAAACGAGATAGGCGATAAGCATTTTACACTCTTTTTTACTCTTGCAAGCATTCCAAACCTCCGCAATTTTATATTTTTTAATTTAAAAAATTTTTCTTTTCCTGATTTGGCAAAAATTTTAATTAATCAATAAATTTAAAATAATTTTTTCTTAGTTTTTTTTGTTCTGAATTTTATAATTTAAACAAAATAAATATCAAAAATAAAATAACAACAATAACAATCCTTGTTGGAATAAATTAAAAATAAATTTCAGAAAGTAATTTTCAGAATCAGAACATATAGAATTAAAAATTAGATTTTTTTATATTTTTTTTATAAGAAAAAGAAATTATTAGTGTTTTATTAATTATCAGCTTTATTTATTATTTATAATTAATTATCATTATTACAATCATTATTACATATATCTCGATATTCTAACTATGGTTTCCGTTTTCGAGTCGGGCCTGTACGAGTCACTTTCGTGCCAAACACCTAGGCCCGACTCGATCTTTCGGTCCGAGTCGGTCAATTTGACAACCCTAATTTTAACTAAACATTTTATTTCAAATTTTTATTTAATAAATTAATTTAAATAGTATATTTGTTAGAGGCAAAGATGGCGGATGGTGGAAGTGAGTTCGACGATGAGGAATACGAATATGAATATGTGGATGAAGAAGAACAAGAGGAAGAGCCGGTAATGAAGAAATATTTTTATAAAAATTATATCTAAAATTTTTAATTTTTAATCTTTTGTTGACCATAAATTTCCTAAAATAGTCCCACTCTCTAAAACCAAAAAGTCCATCCCCCTTCTAAAAATTATTATATTTTAAGCCAAAAGCAGCTCCTCCAACAAAAGATTCGTCTCCCCCAAAATCGCCAAAAAAAGAAAAAGAGCCATCACCTCCAAAATCACCAAAAAAGGAGAAAGAAGCCTCTCCACCAAAATCACCAAAGAAAGATGTTAGTCCTGATAAATCTCCTGTTGGCAAACGAAAAGTAAATTTTATTCAAGAATTATTTTTTAGTTAATTGATAATTGTCTGGGGGGGGGGGAGATTATCTAAATAATTATTTATTTATTTATTTAGGTCCGTACTCCTCGACAATCAATGGAGGAAAAACCAAAAGTAGAAAAACCCAAAAAATTAGACGAACCAACAGTTAATGAAGAAAAAGAAAATAGTTTGGCTGTTGATAATAATAATTTTGTTGAACCAAAAAGTCCATCAGCAGCTTCAGTGACTGCAGAACCCGGAAAATCCTTTCAAGAAAGGAACATTTCTGTTTCTGCTCTCAAAAAGCAGCAAATGTATTCTGGGGGAAAGCCTAGCCGTCACGATAAAGCGTAAAAATTATTTTAAAAATAATTAAATTTTGATTGAATTTAAAAAATAAAAATTTCCAAAAATATTTAATTAAGTAAGAGTCATGTAAAGTTAAATTACTCAAGAGAATGTTAAGATTTATAAAAATTAATTCAACCGCATTTATGGAAAGCGAAACTGGACTGTTACAAAACTTATTTTCCAAAACCATTAGTCTAGAAATTGGGTTTTTTGGGCGGACTGAAACTTCTGGATTTTATTTAAGTCTATTGAAATTAAAAAAAACGGCAATGTACAGTTCCATATTATGCTAAATTTTGGGGGTATATCAGCAAAAGAACCTGTTTTTTCAGATGTTTGGGTTATTTAGAAAGGTATCTGTTAAGAATTATTATTCGGGAGAGTTTTATAGAGATAATGAATTCAAATTATGTAATTTTGGATGGTTTTTTGATAAAAATAATATATAAAATTTAAAATTAAAATAAAAAACCCTCAAAAATTTTCTTCAATTTTTAAGAAAGCTTATGCGTTCTGAGGGGATAATACCAATTCAAGCAGGAACAAATAAATATGCATCCCAAAAGGGAATGACTGGTTAGTAGAATTTTTATCCACTTAAAAAATTTTCCTCTTAAAGGTTTTGGTGCTCCCCGTGATGTTGTTAAAGAATCAAAAGTAAAATCTGAAAATTTGGCAGAAATAACGGATGAAGCAAAAATAGCTTCATTAAAAGGGTCAATTTGGTTACAATCTGGTACTAATAAATTTGCTTCACAAAAAGGAATGACTGGAATGGGGACACCCAGAGATGTTAATTATCGACCTATGGGGACTGGAGGAGCTGGGGATGTTCCTGAAGAGAAGGCTAGATTGACTGATGGTAAGGGAACAAGGAATTAATTAAAATAAATAAAAAATTTTAAAAATTATTTTATGAAAATTTTAAGAATTTTGAGGAAATAGTTAAAAATAATTAATTACAAAATTATTTTAATTCTTTCGGAATTTAATTTTATTTATAAATTAAAGGAATTGTACCTTTACAATCTGGAACAAATAAATTAGCATCACAAGCTGGAATGACTGGAATAGGAATGCCTAGAATTATTGATGGTTATCAATTAAATATTTATTTTATAAAATATTTATTTAGTTCGTAAAACTGTTGATCAAGATAGAGAAAGTCAAGGATTTATACATCTACAAATGGGAACAAATAAATTTGCTAATCAATCTGGAATGACTGGTACATAATTATTTATTTGTGGATTTATTACTATAATAATACTTATCCCATCAGTTTATCTAAAAATAAGCAAATCTATAATTATCCAATTAAAAATGTTCAGAAAAATTTTTACTTATTCAGTAAAGTTCCAGTCCAAAAAAATTATTTTCTAATCCAATAAAAATTTTAAATTCTCTATTAGAATTATTTAATTTCATAAAATTATTCTCTAAATAATTTTCCTTTTAAACACTAATAATTTAATCAAATCTAAAAAAGGTTTTGGTATGCCTCGACGTGAAATAACAAAATATAAAGATGAAATTCGTGGTGAAATGCCTCATGATGAATCTACAATCTCACGCCAAACATCTGGATGGAAAGATGGTTAGTGTGGAAAATATTGAAAAATAAAAATTAAATTAAAGGTGCTAGCCAGCAAGGAATGACTGGATTTGGGGCTTTCCGAAATAATACTGTAAAAATAATTTTAAAATTAAATTCTAAAATTATTTCTTTTAGTTAAATCAATTACAAAATCAAGACCAAAGATCGCAAGGAATGATTCCATACCAAATGGTTAATTAAATATTTTTTGTAATTTAATTTTAATTAAAAATTAAGGGTGTCAATTTCCTAGACTCCCAAGCAGGCAAAACTGCTTTTGGAATGCCTCGCCGAACATATACACCGTGAGGGAATATTTTTAATTAAAAATTGTTTAAAAAAATTCTTTTAAAGTTATGTTGACGATTCACACGAGGATTTGCCCGCTGATATTTCTAGAAGGCCTGAAGTGCCTTTTTGGTCTGGACAAGAAACCGATTTTGCGAATCAGGTAAATAAATTAAAAATATTTATTAAATTTGGTCAAATAATAACTCAATAATAACTAAAAAATATTAATTTGAGCGTAATAATAATTGAAGAAATTAGGGAAGGTCGACAAGTTGTAGGAGACTTTCTAAAATAAATAGTACATAATTCGAATTAAAGTTTAAAAAGTACATTTAACACAAAATCGAAAAATTCCTGGAGATCCGAGAAATTTAATAAGTTATTAACTAATACATAACAATTTTGTATAACAAAATATTTAATAATTTCTACTTAGTATAACTCATAAAAACTTATTTTAATCCTTTTTCAGCAAGGAATGCTTGCTTTTGGAACTCCCCGAGATGTTCGTGGAGAATATGTTAGACGTATGTGGTGATTTATTAAAAATAGAATTACCTATTCTGAAAGTAAAAGTGCCAAAAAAGAAAATATTTTTAAAAAATTTTTCCTGCCAATTGTGTCAATTTGTCGTTGCCTTTTTTAATTTTTGAAAAGTTCAAATATTTTTATCGTCATTTGCCTCTCATTAATTACATTTAAATTTTGTATTGAATAAATGAGGAGAATTTTAAATTAAATAGTAGATATTTGAATAATAGTAAATTAATTCGGGAAAGGATTTCCAAATCAAGAATTCTCCTAATCAGAGGAATTGGAGGGATCAAGTGGATTTAGAGAGATAACGAGATTACGAAGGATACTCGGATTTGGAGAGATATTTTGAGGGATATAATCAAAATTTCAATAATTCCCGGAGGGCCGAGAGCTTTATTAAGTTATTATTCTTGGGGTATTTTGGGTTTAAAATGAAGTGTATGACACAAATAATATAAGAATAACTGAAACCTGAACTATTTTATGGTAAATTTTATGGGCTTTCAGATAGGGTTAAAAGAAAGTTTTGAATTGCTTTAACCGGAGTAAATTATTTTTTGAAGTATTATTCCCTCTATGTATACTGTTGAGTTTTGATATCTCGTTTGAAAAACATAAAATTTTTATCTTTTCTGCTCGATATTAATGGAAACAGATATTTCTATAGAAGTTAGTCGAGCAAAAGATTTATATTTTGAAATTTGAGAATAATTAATCAAATTAAATTAATTACCGTAAATGCTGAGATAATGCCCATCTCATAAATAATTACCCCTGCCCTATTGACTACCCCCTACAGTCAGAGATTGAAAAAAATTACCCCTCTTAAAAATAGTTATAATTAGGCTTTTTAGAAAAAGCTTGAATAATTACCTCCTCTGTTTTAATTACCCCCCCCCCCTCCCAGCGAAAGGTTGAAACAATCATTACCCTGGGTAATTTTTTTAGCAAATACAGTAAGTAATTTTATATTAAAAATATTTTTTTTATTCAGATATTAAATAAATTCAATATATTTAAATTTGTTTGTTTTACCAAGAAAAACTTTTAAACAAGTTAATAAATTGTCTAGACATTTAAATGCTTTAAAGTTAAGATCATTTAAGACCATAAAAGTTATTTTCTGTCTGGATCGAAGTAAAGAAGGTCTTTCTTTTTTAGACCAAAAGTAATAATTTAACAAAAAAAGTTTTAATTTTATATATTTTTTGGCTAAATTTTTATTTTTATTTATTTTAGTTTTTGCAACATTTTATTTTTAAGTGTGACAGATTTTTTGCAAAGAAAAATAAAAATATTTAAATTTTAACTCTTTTTATTTTATAAAAACAAAATTTCTTTTTAAATAAAGAAAACGATCAAATACTAAATAAATAAAAAAATATTTTTAATGATTTTTTAATAAATATTTAAATGCCTAAAATTTGGCAAAAATATTCAGACAAAAAGTTTTTTAGGACTTTTTTTCCCTAAATTTTCGCCTACGTCTGAAAACTATGGACTCTACTCAGAATTCACGCTTAAAGCTGAAAATAATATTTTTAACAGTCCATGTCTTATTTGTAATTACCTAGAAAGGCCCTAAGTAAAAGCCCATGATTCTATATTTTACAGCAAAAATAACATCATTATAGCCTATCAAGAAAATTTTTTCGATTGATAATTCTTTAATTTTTAGATCTCAAAAATTCCCCTTGCATAATTCCTTCCATTAAAAACTTTAAATAATTGGGAAAAGTCATAAAATATTAATTTAAAATTTTAATATTATCAAGGAGTATATTATTTAAAAAAATAAAATTATTCAATTTTGTTTTTTAAACTTAATTTTTATTTCTATAAATTTTTAGATTTATTTAAAATTATTTTTTAAAATGGAATATTCTTTATTATTTTTAATTTTAATTATTTTTTCAATAATAATTACAATAAATGGAAAAGGATGTGGTTGGCCTTGTAGTCCTTATACTTGTCCTAATGGATGTGGCTAAATTTTAAATTTATATTGTAAATTATTTAATTTAAAAATAATTATTTTATTTTTTTTATTTTAAAGGGAATTATTTGGAAATCAACAAAAAATACATAAAAAGAAGATAAATGAATTAAAATATTTTTAGAATAAAATTTAGCTTGCATGTTTTAATTAATTTTGATAGTATAATTTAATAAAAATATGTTTGTCATTTTGTTTGTTATAAAGAAATACTTCACAATTCAGAACGTTTTTCTTTTTGGATTCTCATTTTTTTCAATCCTTACTTTTATCGAATCGGGCTCTCGAGTTGCTACGAGTTCGTGATCTTACGGACTGAGTTGACCATTTTGGCAAACCTCCTCACAATCATTGCTGGCTTTTATTGTAATTAGTAATAACAAAATTATTTAAGCTGGTGGCTAGAATATAGGGTAATTGAGCATTCACGTACGGAATTCGTTATAACTCCCCAGAATGACACGATTTAGTAAACAGATTGGTAACTCTTTTTTTTTTAATATGGCAATGGAAATCTAATCAACAAAAATTTCTCTCTTGATTATTAAATTAATTCACAAAATGTTTCATTCTTAGTTTTAAAAACCAGACATGTTTACTTGTTTTTATTTGTTGGAATATTGAGCGAGAAGAAGGATTGTTGGTTGTTGTATGTTATCCACGTTAATATCTAATATTTCTCTTTTTAAAATAAAAATCTTGAATTATTTTTAATTTTCCAGTTAATTTGTTAATTATTTATTTCGTTATATTAATTACCTTAAAATATTCTCTAAATTTAAATTGATTTTTAGAAAAATATTTTTAATTGAAAATTTTGATTTTTTTAAAATTTAATGAGAATTTTTGAAAAATAAATTTTAAAAATAATAATAAAAACAGCAAATATTTATTTTTTATTTTTTTTCTGGCAAAAATAAATAATTTATTTAATATATGTAATTAATTCTATAACCTTTAAAAAAACTTTTTTTCAGATTATTTTAAAATGCCTCGTAGATTAAATAGATATCTACAAATTTTAATTAAACAATTTATTCGTTCTGATATTTTTAAAATAATTATTTATATTTTATTTTTAATTTATTTATTACCATTTAACGGAAAAATTAGAAAATTACTGCAACTTTTTACTGGAAAAATGTGTATTCAAATGGGGATTTTTGTTTTGATACATTTTTGTATGTTTTTTTAATTAAATTAAATTTTTTAATAAAAATCTTTTAATAAAACCGTCCCACATATCGGCATGTGCCGATTAAATTGTGAGAGCTTTCTATAAAAATAGTGTTATAATTAGAGCTAGGATTTTTAGGCAAATGTCTGTTTTTTCCCTTGATAGGCCTTATGCTGAAGTATTTCCTTGGCCTATAACACTATTTTTATATACATCGGATGAAAAATACCCACTCATTCTCAACCTGTTTTTTTTTATCAATCTTGATTTTTCAAAAACCTCGACCTTTACTTTGGTTAGATTTTAGAGTAGTAGATTAGGTCTTTATATAACACTAGTACAAACATTTTAAAAGCATTTTATTGCTAAAATTAATAAAAAAAGGAGAAATTTAATTTATTAATTATTTTTATTTAATTAGAAAAATTTCTTTAAATTTATTTTCAGCACGTTTCTCTCTCCGGCATTTTTCCCGTCAATTTCTTTATAATCATTGGGAATTATTGCCTAATCTAGACTCTCCAAAACACAATTTTCGTCAATCTTTTAAGCCAATTTTAGCAAAAATTCCAAATTGTGGAAGAGAAATAAATGAAATAAATAATTATTTAATTTTAAAAGAAAAAGATGAAGAAGACGAAGAAGAAAGAGAAGATGATTTTGATAATAAACAAAAGAAAATTCCAAAATTATTTAAATTTATTAATTATAATAATAGAAGAAAATTTAGATATGCTTAATAAAAGTATTTTTTGTTTGTTTGAAAATTTTATTTAAGTATACAGTGCGCGTCAACTAATCGTTCCCTCTAAATTTTGGATTTTATCTATATGTCCATGTTAAATCGTGATAAAATTAAAATATATTAAATAAGGGCAAATCAATCTTATTCTAAATAATTTAGCTAAATATTTATTCAATAAAAAGTGATTTTTAAACATTTGTGCCAAAACTTACGCGTCATAACTATACGTCCACTTCTATTTTCGACATTAAATGTGGTCCGAAAAATCTACAAAAATTCCTTAAAACATATTTATTAATATGAATATAAAAATACCTAATAGATATTTCTTTAAATATTTTATTTTCTATTAATTTTCTTCCATTAAATTTTTATTTAATTTTCAAAGAAAGTAATAAAAAATTATTTTATAAAAATTAATTTCTCCTTTCCTTTTTTATTTTTAAAAATAAATAATTAAAATATTACCAATATTTTTTAATCAAATTTTAATAGGTAAATAATATAAATTAAAAAATATTTTATTACTTGCTAATAATTACCTGTTTTTATATATTTTTTAACCTTTTCAAAAGTAACCTTAGAAACAAAAAGATTTATATTTTTATATATTTATTATCAAAAGCTTATTATTAAAATAAAAATAATAAATTTAATTTTAAAAATTTTTGGTTAATCTTGCAACATTCCTTTTATCACTTTTGGTTTAAATTTACCCTTAATTTCTCGTAATTTAAATTTTTTATTTAATTTTTATTTTTTTCCAAAAAAATTAAATTATCGGTTCATTTAAATAAAAAAATTTCAAAAATGTGTTGTCGCACCTAAATTTTCTTAAAAATTTCTTAGAAAGGTTAAAAACTAATAAATTATCAAAGAAGATAAATAAATTATATATAATTAAATAATTTTAATTTTTAAATAAAGCCCAAAAATTCAAAGTAAATATTCTGTTAAAATTTGATTTTATTTTTTTTAAATAATTGTTTTAAATTTTGTTATAAAATTGTTTTAAATTAAATAAATTTTGAGACAAAATTAATTTAGAATTTCTCAAAAAAATTTTTTTACTTTCATTCTTTGCTTAAATATTTAAGAAAATTATTTTTAATTTTTAATAAATTTTTAAATAAACATTTTAAAAAATATTCGAAAATAATCAAAAAAATATAACGAATGAATTTGTTCTTAAAAAATGACTGGAATTGTTGATATTCTTTTTTGGGAATTTTCTTTAAATTTTAACGTGAATTTAAATTATTTTTAAATTAAATTATTTGTCAATAAAAAAATATTTAGTTCAAAATTAGTTAATTATTAGCTAATAAAATGTTGCTTCCTTTTAAATACATATTTATTAAATATAAAATTTTATTTAATTAAATTTATTTATATTTTAATTTTATTTTTATTTAAGAAAAATTCTTCTGGACAATTAAAAATTTACTTATAAATTTTTAAAAAATATTCCACTAATATTAAAATACTTTTCTTATTTAAAAGAATTAATTTTAAATTAAAAAAATGAATTCAACAACAAATTCAACGACAACAATTTTGGACAATTTAGTTATTGTAAGTAATTCTATAGAATTACTTCCAGCTTTTTTTGCTTTATTTGTTGCATTATTAAATGTTTGGTTATTATTTAAAAGCTATATTTTGCATTTAAATTTAAAAATTATTTTAATTATTCAAAGCTTTATTATTTTTATTTTTGTTTTTATTCGAATATTAGAGTAAGTTTTTTTTAAATTATATTCTAATTTTGTGATTAGAGTTGTCGATTTAAAACCAAACCAAAGAATCTATTATTTTTTCCATAAATAGTGTCATTCCAAAAAAAACATTTTCTGAATAAATTAAATAGAATTTATTTATTTATTTATTTATATAAATTTATTTATTATATAAATAAATTCCTAATTTGAAATTCATTAATACATTTTTCCTTAATTTTCCGAACTAAAATGACCATCTCTAGTTATAAATAGCGTTACTGGTATTATTTATATGAAGTTCATAAATACGGGGTTGGATGAACATTAATGAATATCTTATTTATTAAAATTTTAGAAAAATTAATTAATTAAATTTGTTATTTTTAAAGAAATTAATTAAAATATTTTAAATTAAAATTAAATTTATTTTCAGTATTTTCTCGCATTTATTATATCAAACAAGTATTTATTATCAGTCTAGTTTTATCGACAATATCGGCTGTTGTGTGTTAATATTTGGTAATATGATGGGACATATTATAATTGTAGAACGCACTATAGCTACTTTAAATAGTGTTAAATATGAAAAACAAAAAGGACCTTGGTTTAGCATTTTTTGGATTTCAATTATGGTAATTCTGATATCAAAAATTAAAAAAAAGATCACATATATATTATTAAAAGGTTGATTAAGTACATTATCCCCAAATATTGTTATTATTAAACACAAACTTGTAAAGTTAATTTCGATATAATTCCACAGAAAAAAACTTTTATTTGGAAAATTTAAAACTTTTTTTCATTCATTCATTATATTATTATCATAATATAATATTACTTTATCATATTATGATAATATTATTATTACAATATAATTATGATTATTACAATCATAAATATGATATCATATTTAATTGAAACGAATAATTAATTAATTATGTATATGCCAGCTGCATATAACGGCTTCGAAATGATTTTTCTTATGAATTAGTTAAATAACACAGTTTTTAATATATTTTTTGCTTTCGACCTTTTTATGTTATTTTTTCGTTTCAAAACAGATCTAATATCGATATGTCATATCGTATTTATAATTTAAGAGATACAAGTCCCTAGAGTGATTATTTAATGTAACAAAATTAAATATAAATTTCTAGTACATTGAAAATTAAAAAAATTATTTTCTTAGGTTATTTTAATTATTATTGGTCAAACAACACCAACTTTAATTGTTGAAAGAAAATTCAATTTTTATGTATTAATAATTCATATAACTTTGGGTATTAGCATTGTAGAATTAATTGTTTGTTTTAAATATGTATAATATTTTTTAAAATCTAAAATTATTTTTAAGGTTTTTTCTATTTTACATTTAAATAATCAAAAACGTTTTGAACAATTTAATGATATTAAAGCTAATTATACACATAAATACAAATTGAGCGAGAGATATCAAGTAATTTTTATTTTACTAGATAAATGGATATTTGAAAAGTAGATTTTTAAGGGGTTTTAATTTTTTTAAAAGCTAAATTTAAAAATAAAAAAATTTTTCGATCTGACGGGGAGCGGGGGTTATATGAACTGTTGCCAAAATTAAGTAAAATTATGTAAAAATCGGAAATTTATGGTGAGGTTATAATTAGGTATAATTAGGGATAATGAAATGTTTGTTATCCATTAATATTTCCTTTGATAAAATTGCCAAAAAGATTGTGATTAAAATATAAAAATAAAATATTTTAAACAGTTAAAAACAAATAAATTCAGAAATTTTTATTTTTCCAAATTTAGTTACAAGAAAATATTTATTCTGGTAAACAACTTACCCCAACATTTATTTTTCATTTAATTAATATTTTATGTTCAAATATTGTGGTTATACTTAATTCTTATACTAATCTAGATCAATATTTACTTAATTCTTTAATAAGTTTTATATTTTTAATACACACTATATGCAAATTGGGAATTGAAATTACGGTTATAACGTTTGTTTTGATTGAAGAGGATTTAGTAATTAAAAAATTTTTTTCTTTTCCAGTTTTCATCCATTATTAAACAAAAAATTAAAAAATATATTCACAAAGTTCAAAAAATTATTATTTGGCAAATTTACCTCAAAAATAGATGTTAGAACAACAATCGAAATGGGGGATAGAGCAACAACACAATTTAGTGGAAACGAACAAGATAAACATTTTAAAGCTTTAGAAAAGTATTGGAATTAAATTTGCTTATTTTATTTATTTGTAAATACCAGTGGATATCCGAAAATAAATTTAAAATTTTCTTAAATTAAAGGTCTAAAAATTAAAAAAATTATTTAATGACTCATTAATTTAAACAAAAATAATACTTTTAATTTATCAATCTTTGCTTATTAATTCGCCAAATAGAAATCAAAATCAATTTAATTGTTTAAGATCATTTCTATTTTTTGATTTTTTATTTCATTAATTTTGTTTATTTATGTTGAAATATAAAAATGTAAATAAATATTTTTATATTTTAGAATTTAATCCAAATTTTCAATTTTATTTAATTGTTTCTGTTAAAATGCTTTAGTTATTATTTTTTGTTATTCCCCTAACTATTTTTTCAATTAAAAATCCAAAAATAATGTAGAATAACTCAATCGTTATTCGACTAATATCAAAAAAATTTTCGAATTTCGATATCTCGATCACTGGGAGTGTCTCGTACGACACTCCCAGTCAGGAGTGTCTGGGAGTGTCTCGTACGGAGTGTCTCGTACGGAGACACTACGGAGACACTCTCGTACGGAGTGTCTCGTACGGAGACACTGGGAGTGTCTCGTATGACACTCCCAGTCAGGGTCTCTAGTTTTTACTTTATAGATAATGTAGAAAAAATTTTTCCACGCGATTTTGCTTTTTAGCATTTTTTTCATTAAAATTAAGATCAAAAAAATTTCGAACAAAAAGGGCATCTTTTCGATGAGTTATGTCGAAAAAACATGATGTTCTTTACTTTTGTTATAATTGTTTATATTTAAGTTTTTATAAAATAATTAAGCATTTTATTAAAAATGTATTTTTCTGCTCCATATATTTTTATTTTAACCCTAATTATTTTGTTAATAAATCAAATTCTTTGTCTTGGCACTAAACAATCAGCAGCCGTTAGAGGAAATTTAATTTGTAATGGAAAGCCGAGTGTAAACACAAAAGTTAAATTATATGATCAAGACAGTTGAGTTGTTTTTAAGTGCTAAAGTATTGAATTTTTGGGGTAAATTTATTAATGTAAAGTTCTTAGTCGTTATTTTAGGTTAAAATTTTAATAAAGGAACTTTTTATGTCAATTCAGACCTATATCGAGTTAAAAATATTTTTGTTTCTTTGAACTTACCTAATCTGATAATTTCTTTAATAATAAACATTTTTAAAATTTAATAATTTCTAAAATAGCTTTTGACCCCGATGATTTAATGGATGAAGGTGTAACCGACGAAGAAGGACATTTTGAACTAAGTGGAAGTGAAACAGAAGTTACTGATATTGAGCCGAAAGTCAATATTTATCACGTAAGCATTTTATGGAGAAGTTGTTTCTTATTTATCATTTAATTTTTAAAGAATTGTAATGATGAATTAACACCTTGTTTATTAAAAATATCAATTGAAGTAAGTTTTTAAAATAATAATGTCAGATATTATTAGCAGCTAAAAGAGTTAAATGATACATAAGAGTTAAATAAGAGACTTTAATAAGAAAATTTTTTATAATAAATAGTGCAGTAGGGGACGTGGTGTAATGGATAACACATAAGTCCGGTCTACTGAAGATGCTGGTTCGCTCCCAGCCGCCGAACAACCTTTTGCACTAGCTATACATATGTAGGAGAGAAATAAATATATATAGCCCAGCTGCGTTACTATAGTTGCGATTAAAATTTAAATATTATAAAACTAAACATTCTCAATTTTATCTCTATAGATTCCCGATGATTACATAACAGAAGGATCTAAACCAGAAAAAACTTTTAATATTGGAACATTAAATTTAGAAGGAAAATTTTCTGGGCAAACACGTGATTGTTTTAATAAATAAAAAAGAATTTTTATTTTTCTTTAAAAAAATAACAATTTTATAATTATTTACAATTAAAAGGTAAATGAGTTTAAAAAATGTAAATTTCAATTCTCTAATCATTATTTGTATAAATTATTTTCCAAATATTTAATCCAAATATTTTGGCCAATAAAATTGATAAACAATCCAACAAACTCCACATAATAGCCAATACATTAAAAAGAAATAAAGAACCATCCAAATTAAATAAGACCAACTTTTAGTTAAAAAAACTTTAAATAAACACTCAAAAACTTTATTTAATACCTCGTTGTCATTCTTGTTAAAACAATAATTATTTGTTCTTTTATTGAATCAAAATAATTTTGAGGAGGGGAATTTTGATTAGAATTTATATTGTTTGTATTTAAATTATTTATTTCATTTTTATTACTTTGTGAATTAATATTAGGAGGATTAGAAGGTTGTTTTTGTCCAGTCCACCAGAACCAACTCCAACAAATAAATCCCCAAAAACTTATAGAAGTACGCCATATCTAATTAAAAATATTTTTTTGTTAAAATTAATTATAGAAAGATTTTAGCAAAAGTTTAGCCACGGGCAGTATTCAAACCTGCGACAACTCTGACAGTGATCGCTCGGTATTGCTCACACAAATGCAGGTATTCTACCACTGAGCTGCCACGGTGATGTTCAATGCTTTCTCTTTTATTCTTTTAGATCGTTTAACCCCCACCCTTTAACCCCGTCTATTATTCAATTTAATCTAATTAAAATTTTCAATCATCTCTCAGAGGGGCATTATAATATTAGAGGAGTACGGTAATATTTTATTTCTTTTGTTATTTTGTTTTTGATATTTATTTTGCTATTTTTTATGAGATTACTTTTTTAAGTTGCTTTTAATGAGGGTTTTTAATAGAGTTTTAAATAAATATTTTATTGAATAATTTTAGAATTTTTTACAAAAAATATTTTAAAATTAAAAAATTAATTTACAAATTTAGCACTATGCCAATATCTCTTCACAGTATAATAAGGCACCAAAATAGGTGCTAATATTGTATATTGAAGTAATTTAAAAAATAAAAATTGAGTAATCCGTAAAATAAAATTTTTAACTTCAAAAAATTTCAAATTAAATTAATTTTATTTATTTCTTTTTCTTACTTTTATTGGCAATCCAATAAAAAATTATTTGTGAAGAATAGTAAATATTAAATCCGGCTAAAATTACTTGTTCCCTTTAATTTAAATTTTTTAAATTTAAATAAATTTATGACTCATACATTTTTATTTATTTTGCAACACAGCTGGCAATTAAAAAAATAAAATTTATTTAAAAAATAATTTAAATTTTAATCAATAAGAGAAAGAAAATATTAATTAAATTTTAAATTCTGACAAGGGGAACATTAAGGAATTTATAAATGTTTTTTTATGTTTTCAAATAAAATTGATAAAAGATAAAGTTAATGTCCTTTAACATTCTGTAGGGAAATTGAAATATTTTTGTTTAGTTGACATTTTGAAATAAATACGGTATTTTAAAAGAATGTTGAAGGAATTTTTAAAGAATTTTTTTTATAATTTTTTAATTTTTTTAGTTAACAAAAAATGCCAAATAGCAGTATTCTCTCTGTTGAATCTGATTTAATTGATGAAACAACAAAAAAGAAAATGGTTGATGATAACCAGTCAATGGATGAATTTCCAATGTTTTCTTCAAAAGTTTGGAAATATTTTTTGAAAGTTTTTTTTTCAATTTTTTTAGGTCCGTGCATTAATGGCTCAAGTAGACGATTCAGAATTAATTCGTCCAGATTTTGATTTAACTGTTTATATTAATAAATTATTTCCAACAGAACAATCTTTGGCACAATTGGATGTTTTTATGAAAAAATTTGATGAAGAAATTGTTTCTAATTTTAGTCTAATTTTGAAAAGAAATGTTTTTAGGAGCAATGTGAACAAGATTTATCTAAAGCTGTTGCTGAACATGGACGTTGTGCTGTGGATGCTAATAATACTCTTTTACAAGTTTTTTAATCAGAGAAAGGTTTTTAATTTTGTTTTTAGGCCAAATCAATGATTGGAGAACTTGACCAAAAAATAAAAGAAATGAGGGGAAAAACTCGTTGTTCAGAAGATTCAGTATTTGAACTTACAAAAGATATTAGACAATTGGATGTAGCAAAACGGAATTTGACTGAATCTATTACTACTTTACATCATTTACACCTTTTATTGAATGGCGTGAATTCTTTAAGTAAATTTTTTTTTCTTGGTTTGTTTTCTTGACTTGTATGAGCAAAAACGCAATTTAAAAAAAATGTCTACACTGCCCAAAAATCTCTACAAAATGGGGTACTTGTGTAGTTTACACCCCATAAGCCCCGCCCCTTTTCTTTCATAAAATGATCAAACGGGTCAATGTTTTCAGTTTTATTGTGGACACTTTTTAAGGAAAAGGAAGAAAGGATAAAGGAACGGAGCTTATGGGGTGTAAACTACACAAGTACAAGAATTTGTCATTGTTTTCGATGCTAACCATAACATATTAAAATTCGTAAAATTTCAATATTTTTTCAGTCCAATGGGTTTCCAATCGGCAATACCGTGATATTGCAATAGAACTTCCAGCTGTCCTTAACGTCCTCATTCTTTTTGAGGACTATCAACATATCGAACATATCAAAAACCTTATGGAAAAATTACAAAAAATACGCGAACAATTAAGTGTGCAATTAATTGGGGATTTGAAATCTGCTTTTACTGTAAGAAAAAAATTTTTTAATTAAAAAAATTAAATTTTCAGTCAGGTCAAATTGGTTCTCAAACTAGCGATATGTGCAGAGTAATGGTAGTTTTTTAATTAATTTTTTTAAAGAAATTTTTTTAAAGGCCGTTCTCGGTGGGCAATTACAAGATAACTTTATTGAATGGTTCATCTCTCAGCAATTGGGAATTTATGGAGTTTTGTATGCTGATTCAGAAGATGTTGCTTGGCTTGATAAAATTGAAGAAAGGTTTACTAAACAAATTTTTTTGATAGAAGGGTTTTCTGCGAATTATGGAAACGCCTCAATTTTCATTTAAAAATAAAATTTGGTCTTTAATTCATTTCATATTTAGATATCGTTGGTTTGTAAACAAATTGGCTGAATATGAGCGAACTGGGTTAACAAGAATTTTTCCACAACAATGGGAAATGGGTAGAAGGCTTGCCAAAGAATTTTGTAGTATGACAAGGTTACTCTTTAAAACGTTAATTTTATTTGGGCGCGTTAACGAATAAATGGTCTGTCAAAGATCCAAATAAAATTAGGCATAACCGATTTTAATTTTATTATTTCTTCAATATTTTCTTAAAAGGAACTCATTGGGACGAATGATGATTCGTCGAAAGAGTGAAATTGATTGGAAATTACTTGTGCATGCTATAAACCATACACAAATGTTTGAGCAATTGTTGACTAAAAGATTTCCAGCAAAAGAGGAGTATGACTTTGAAAAGGTTTTTGTAGTTAAATTTATCTTCTTCGAAACTCAATTCGAACTTATAATTTTATTTCCTAAAACGATTGAGGATATTTTTGAACTTATATTTTTTGTTTTAGCCACTTTATTTTCTTTTTTAGATAATTTGGTCAGTATTTGATGAACATGTTGATATATTTTTGAATGAACAGCAAAATAAAATTTCTCATTTTCTCAATGAATGTGCGGCAAAAATTCGAAGCGGTGAAGAACGTCCAAAAAAGGAAATTCATTCTTCAGCCATTCCTCTACCCTCCGGTTTTTTAATGATTAAAATCTTACAAAAATTAAATTTAGCTACAAATATGTTTTTGTTAATAAAGAAAATAATTACTGAATCGACGAAATTATTTGCAGATGCGAATAATGTTTTGAGGTTTACACTTTAAATAGCTAATCTTTAATTCTGAGACATTATAAAATTTTTATAGAAATTCTCTAGATTCTTTATGTGAGTATTTTGACAAAATGTTAATTCATTTAAAGAAAAATATAAAGATTTTCTCTTTCAGGAAAGGAGAATCTGACAAATATTTAAATAGAAAGATTAGTGAGATTCCCTAAAATTTGAACAATCAAATACTTTCATGTTTATTTTCTAGCAAATTAATCGAAATATTCCGTCAATGTTTGCGTCAATACGCACATGGCTGTCTTTCAGCTTTTCTTCCTCAAACATTTTCGCAGACTTCTTCTACTCTATCAGGCGTTGGATTAATTGGAACTTCCTCAATTTTACAGAATTTAATACGAGACGAGACATCTCCGTCTGCTCGTCTGACACAAGACCAAATCTATTTTACTTGTTGTATATTAGCCACAGCTGATTGGAGTGCTGAAACAACTGTTCAATTACAAGAAAAATTGAAACAAAAAATATCGGTAATTTTTAAATTATTTATTTAATTTTGATTTTTTTTAGCCTGCAGATTTAAGCCAAGAATCAGAGCTATTTTACAGCATTTCAAATAATTCTCTTAGTATTCTTGTACAAGATGCAGAAATGCTCTGTGAGCCAAGTTTGCAAGCTATGACTAAAATAAAGTAAATTTTTAAGAATTTTAAAATTAAAGCTTTAATTTTTAGTTGGTCAAATATTGAACAAGTTGGAGATGAATCCCCTTATGTTTCTACAATCAGAAAGAATTTACGTCCAACAGTTCCATTAATTAGAGATTATTTTAGTGAAAGGTTATTTTAAAGAGAATTTTTATTTTATTATTCCCTAAATTTTTTTTCGGATTTTAGAGGAAATTTTTAATTTATTCAGACTTGTTTTTCATTATTTTTTTCAAATTTTTAGAAGAAAATATTTTGCCCATTTCTGTATGAAACTTGCAACTAATTTGGTCAACAAATTTCTTGGTGCAATATTTAAATGCCGACCAATATCTATAGCCGGTGCAGAACAATTATTGTTGGATACACATTCTTTGAAGACTTTTTTACTTAATTTGTAAGATTAGAAGAGTAAAATCTTAAAATTATTATTTGTAATTTTAGACCCTCAATTGAAAGTTCAATTGTAGTAAAACCTCTGCAAATGTATACAAATACTTTGAATAAAGGAATGGCGAGGGCAGAAATGATTTTGAAGGTTATTAAAGTTTTTATTTTTTAGTGAGGGATTGGGTTAAGGCAGGGGTTGAAAGTAAGTGAGGAGAAATAATTTAACATTTTCTAGGCTGTGATGGCAGATACTTCAGACCCAAATGAATTTGTGACTCATTACATGAGAATCTTACCGGATTCTGATGTTAGTGAATTACAACGAATTTTGGAGATGAGGTCAATGCGAAAAGCGGACCAACAACAACTTGTACAATTATATAAAACAAAATTGGAAAGTGGTAAAGGTAAATTTTTTTAATTAAAAATCTCCAAAATAAAGTAGATTCTTGGAAGATTTTTATTTTTTATGGCAAAATTCCGTGCTTTAAAGATTAATATTTTAATATAGGTGATAATCAAACAGTAACTAATACAAAAACAATGTCAACATTTGAGACATTAGCTGGATCTGCGGGCATTCCCTCATCTTTGGCTAGTTTTGGTGACTCGAGTATGCGAAAATTAGAAAAATTTGTTAGAAAGATGTAAATGTTAATGCAGGATGTCCTTTCCATAGCACTACAGTGTGTTACGAAATTTCTGGATTTCTAGGTTAATTTACTACTGCAAATTAAAATAAAATTGAAATATCCTTATCAATCATTGTACTAATTTTGTATATTTTGTTGCGCATTATTTTGTAGCAGTATCATTTGTGAAAATCGATTAACTTTACTAAAAAAATTGGAAAATAAATTATTTTTCTCTGATTTTCTTTTTTCGCTATAGCATTTTTCCATCTTGTAACTTAAGTCTAAATTACTCATTAAAGTTAATTTTAACCTAATATGACTCAGTAGTCCAAAACCAGAGCAAACGAGAGAAAATTTTTTGTAAAATATGTATTATTATAGAGAAGTAAAGGATTCAGCCATTTGGTCTCGTGTCTTAACAAAATGGTACTCGACAAAATGGTGCTTTGGCTAAAAAATGACAAAATGATACTCAATGGAGTGGCAAGGAAATGGAAAATGTCTTGTAAACTGGAGTAATCTTTGAAAAGTTGAAGAAGTAACAAGTTGGCAGATTTTAGTGATAAGGAAATGGAAACTGAAATTTAGTATTTTTGTCATATTTTTTATAAATCTGTACCGTTTTGTTATTATATCATTTTGTCGGTACCATTTTGTAGTGGTGCTTTTGGTCATTACACAGTTATTTTATTTAGTTTGTCCCCGTTAAACCACAAAATATCTTTTAATGTCTAATTCTTTTTCATTCTTTTGAGATCAACCCGCACCTAATTAAATATTTTTTTGCTTTTTAGCACTGATAAGAAAATTTCTCTAACATTTGTATTAGGCAATATACACAATATTTCTTTCATTTAAATCTTCAATCAATTATGCTATTTTTCCCGGTCATTTTTCCTTTAAATGCACCGTTTCTTGATACCTTTTTGCATACAAACAGCCGCCATATTTTTCCTTATCATTTCCTTTTTAATTCAAAAACCATTCTTTGCCTCGTTACTCTCCTCTCTTTTTCCTTTTGAACTTGACTATGTTTGCGTCTTTTCTTTCTATTTATAAATGCTTAATCTGAATTGACAAATTTAGATCAATTTTTGCATGGGAAAATATTTAAATTTGATGAATAAATTTAAAAACAACTGGAAAATTAGAACACTGAATTAATAATCTAAAAATTCATTAGCAAGTATTTGACAACTTTTAAACTATGGCAATGGCGTTGAGAGGCGAAGCTTCTCCCCAAGCCCACAGATTGCATCAGCAGGTATTTTTTTTATTTTTATAAATTTAAAAAGAATCAATATAAGATTAGTGTACCGAAAGTTTAATCCTTTTGATATGTCTAGTTTAGTTTGCCGAAATTACTAATGAATAGGAGAGTGCTTTAATTTAAAAACTTGCCTTTGAATGGGAGGTATGAGTCAGTAATCTCTTGCAAGGGCATGCCCCTTATTTAAATTCTCATCTTAATATTTATTTTGGTTATTTTACTAAATACTTTTTGCTGTTAAAAATACTTTTTTTTTGAGGTCACAAATTTACTTTCCGCCTTGACATCATAGTTTCATTTTTTCTGTCATTTTAAAAATTTAAATGGCTTTTTTCTTAATGTTAATATTTTAATTTCAAAATATTTTTTTCTAAATTTTAAGCCAACAACATCTTCAGCTTCTCAATCTTCTCAAAAATTGCCTTCATCACTACCAACACAAATGTCTTTAGAAGAGCAATCATATCAACATCATTCAATTCTCCAATATCAGCAGCAGCATCCCCAATCTCTCCCCCCTTCAGCTACTTTTGGTCAACAACAACGCACATTTTTTTCAAAGAAACACCCAAAAAGTTTTTATTCTGGTTGTACTACAACAACTTCTACAATGGCAACAGATTATAGAATGGCAGCATCTGAACATAATAAACAAGTGGAGACACAATTTACAGGAGAAAATTATGATAATCCGGAAGAAGAGGTTTGCTTTTTTGAAATCTTAATGACTTTGTACATATTTCTAACAATAAGCAAGTATTTTCCTCATTTCTCATTAGATAGTAATTAAGAAACATTCCAAATTTCTTTGTTCTAGGATTATAAGATCCTTTAGGTCAAAAGTTTTACATCAAACCATTGTGATTATTATTTTTTGATATTTGGTCCCCTCTCCGTATTTTTTACCTTCAATATCAAGATTAAACATAATGTGCATATATTTAATTTTGCGTTTATTTTGCCTTTTTAAGCTAACAAGACAGATAGATCCTTCTCCACATGATCAACATTTTACGAAAAGTATTCAAAATTACCCAGTTCAACAATCTTCACAATTGGATTTGTCAACTACTAATAGCAATGCAAATCAAAGTAATTTTATTTGTTTTTTAATTATAAAATTGCTTTAAAATTAATTTTTATTTATTGTTTTCAGTTTGTTTAGTAACTTCGTCTGGTACGCTAGATGTAAGCCAAATACAGAGAAATCAAGGTGAAAGTGCTGCTTTTCTTAATTTATCTGGAGGAGTTCTGAGCGATGTATTTTTTAAAGGAAATCACGAAATCCTAATTTCTATTTTTAGACTAATCTTTATATTCGTGGTCTTCAAGAGGATTGCACTGATGAAAAGCTTTATGAAATGTGTGCTCCTTATGGAAAGGTTTTCCTTTTTTATAACGTTAAGGAATTTTTAAAAATTAATTTTTAGATAGTTTCTACAAAAGCAATTTTGGATAAACTGACGAGGAAATGTCGTGGGTATGGTTTTGTTGATTTTGACAGCCGTGAGTCTGCATTAGCTGCAATTTCTGGCCTTCCTGAATGGGATAATCGAATACATGCACAGATGGCAAAGGTTTAATTTTATGATAATTTTCATTTAAAATAATTTTCAGCAACAAGAGCAAGATCCAACCAATCTTTACATTGCGAATCTCCCTTCTCATTTTGATGAGGAAAAATTATCTGAAATGCTTCAAGTGCATGGACCTGTGATTAGTTCACGGATTCTTAGGTTATCTTTTAAATTTGAATTTTGTTTTAACTTAATTGGTGGTGAGTTAATTTTCGAACTTTTTTACATATAAGCGTTTTGGTTCTTTTTCACCCTTCTTTTTTAATTTCGAATTTTAACTACTTCAGATTAAATACTAAATTTAGAAATCTTGACGGTTCGAGTCGTGGTGTTGGTTTTTGCCGTATGACTACATCAGAGTCTTGTGCTTCAATTATTGATGCTTTTCATGGGAAACGTTTGGCTCAAGGATTGCAGCCTTTAATTGTAAAGCTGGCTGATAGTACTAGTCGAAAGTTAAAACGTTCAACTCCTTCGCTTCATTCATTCTACAATGATGATGGACGATTTTACAAGGCAAGACTACCAGCTACACCTTTACTATCAGCTACTACACCTTTGATGGATCCGGTTTTTTTAATTTTTTTGTGTATATGTATAATTGATTTTTAGATAATATTCCCAGCAATGTCAAATTCAGCTCTAGCAGCTTTCAGTCCAGTTCTTGCAAATTGTGGACGCCTGTCTGCTTCACAATATACACCACAACATTATGGACCTATTGCTGGTTTTTAAATATTCTAATTTTATATTCCTTTTGATTTATATGAAATTTTATTAATCAAGTTATTTTTAAAAGATCTCAACGCCCAATTCAATCAGTTAAGAATTGCTAACGGTCCATCCAGCATTGTCGGTACAAGTGATTCAACCGTAACACCTGGCCAAACTCCTCGACCTTTGCCATCTCTGACCTCGACCGATTTGCCTTTACAACATCTACAACAACAGCAAACCCAACAGATGTTTCAGCCTTCACAGCAGCAACAAGCTGCACAACTTGTCTATCCGCCTTATTATGGTGTGCAGTACTATATGCCAGCTGCATTTGGTGCTGCAGCTAGTAACTATCAACAGCCTTTTATTGTATATAACCCGGTAATATATTATAGCTAAGGGTTTTTGTTATGGATATTCAAGGTGTTTTATTTTCAGGACTCCTAAACATTATGTTAAATGATTTTCATACATTACCATTTTTTGTTTAAATGTCTCCTTTCACACCCAAAAAAATTTCCATCTAGCGATCACACCATAAATACAAAACATTTTTATTTTAAAGGCAGATTACTATTCTCTAGCTTCTCAACAGCAACAATTAGCTGTAGCTTCTTCTAACCAATTTGCTAATATTGGTGGTCAAGTTCAACAAAATCAACCAATTGCAAGTCTTTTCCCATCTATCAATCAACAACAAACGTCAGCTAGTAATCCTCAATATGGCAATACATACACAAATCCGCCTTCAAATATTGCGCATCATATTGGTGAACAACAACAGCACCAACCGCCACCGTTACCACAGGTGCCTTAAAATTTTCCTATTTGTTAGAACACTCTTGCATTTCACTTTTTGATTTTTTTAGGTACAAAGTACTGGAGGCAGCAATTTTAGCCGACCACAACAACAGCCATTACTAACACCTGTACATACAAATTCCGCCCCTTATCTAAAACAACAACAGCGGTATGGCCAGCAACAACCACATTGGGTTCCCGAGCAACCTCACTCGCATTCAATGCCTCCTACTAATGTTACCACATGTACAAAGCCATAAATAACTAAAGAATGTCACCTTAAATAAGTTCTGAGAAATTTGTATTTTTGTGTTCTTTTCATTAAATGTTTGTACTTAAAATTGTAAAAACAAACACCTGACTAAAAATGTAGGTTGTTTTTAAAGCATTCATATTCTGTTCTTTTATGAAATATTGCAGATTTTTGTCTACTTGTGTTTGTTTTTATATTCTATTAATCACATCTTTATTGCTTTTATGTACCTTGATTTATTTTTATCTATTTTATGTAGAACTTGTTCAATTTTTCTAATACTTCTGGGTGCATTCTTTCTTAAACCTAATTTTATCATTCATATTTTAAGTATAATTTGTTAAATTTAAATCAAAATTGGCACAACTTGGAGGAAATAGATATTTATATAATAATAAAGACCCATTTTTCTAATTTTATGGACTAATTCCTCAAAGCATCTACTCTTCGTTGTGCTTTTAAATTGTGTAAATAAAATTTTCTAATTTTGCTCATTAAAGAACAATTTACTTTTGTAAATAATTTTTTCTGTCTGTCTAAGCTCATTTTTTAAGTTTTTCCATTCTCGCCAGATCAGAATCCTTTTCAAATGTTGCCTTCCTTTTCAGTCTTTTGAACGTGTACATTATATATAATTTTTTAAAATCAAAAAAGTTTCTTTTGCCACTTTTTCCTTTAACTCTTTTCCTTTTTACAATTTTTTACATCTGCTGCTTTTAATTGGTTTGTCGTGTAAATAAATTTTATAAAAGAGTATCGCTAAATTTAGACTAATTTCTTGGGATTTAAAATAGAACCCAACTGAGGGGGTGGTAGATTATTCATTCCATTAGAAATCGAGAAAAATTGTCTTGGAACCATGTCTGGTCAGATTTGCCACGTTTTGCCTTGGCTTATTTTGTAAAATTGCAAATCTTCTGCCATGGGCATTGAGCATTTTTTGTCCCAGCAAGCATTTCTTGTCTTAAAATTAATTATTATATAGAAAAAGAATATTTCTTTCAAACCTAAACATTTTTAATTTGCAAATAAAGTTTATTTGGTATTTAAAATTCATAAATGTAAGTATATTAAATTGCCCATTAAATTCTTTTATTTATAATGGGTGCAAGAAAAACTAATTACAGACTTATAAAAAGAGATCTGAAAAGTAAAATATTAACAGGTGAATTTATTTACTTGGAAGGAATATGTAAATGTTCTGTTTTATTTTTATTCAATATATATTGAATAAAAAAAGTTCGGCAAAAACTAGCTTTATTGTTTGAAATAATTTATATTTAGTTTTATATTTAGTTTTATATTAATTTATATTTAGTTTTATATTAATTCAATGAAATAAACATTTTCGGTTTTTATTCAGTTTATATTTGTTTAATTAACCTTTACATCGAATTAAAAGTTTGCCATATTTTCTGTTATATTAATTTTCTAAATATAATTTAAAAAAATTTAGCCTTATAATTGTACTTAAAACATTTTTAAAAAGTTTATTTATGAAAGGGGCTGGCACGAAACTGAACATTAATATGCACGCATTTAAAATAAAGATATGTATGTATGACAAATTAAAGATTAAAAAAATCATTTTTAATTCTCAAAGAATTTAAGAATTTTTTTATTAATATTTTATGAAAAATTGAAATTAAAATTTTAAATTAAATTGTTACTTTTATTTAAATTAAATACTTTTAAGTTAATTTATTCAATTTTTTTCATTTTTTTCAAAAAGTTAAACTTTATACAAAATCTCTTTAAGTTCATTAATAAATACAAAATTAAATATTCTCTTTTTTTATTTTAAATTATTTTTTGTTAAAATATTTTTTACTTAAAATGTAAAAAAGCAAATTTTTAAGTTAATTTAGTGAAATTTTAAAGTAATTTTTTAGCTTTAAGTTTTTTAATATTCAAAGTAAAAATTAATTTTAATCAAAAAATTTAAATTTTAAGAAAATAATTACAGTTTACCAAATTAACTTTAACAATTGTTCTCCACAAGAATATATTTATAGAGTAGGTAGTTTTATTTCTTAAACTTTTCTTGTCTTGCGTGATTTTATCTAAACTTTAAAAAATCTAAAAAATTATAAATAAACTTTAAATTAAAAAAATAAAAATGATGGAATATTTAAATATATAAATATTCAAAAATAAAATATTTTTTAATAAAAAAGGCAAAATAATTTCCAAGAAACTTCAATGCTCTAACATTATAAAATAATAATTACAGTCGACTCTCAATTTTCCTATACCCACAATTAAATAAAATTTGCAATTCTTATGTTGGTTGCCCATTAGTGGAGGAAAGCTTATAAGCTTACCATAAATAACTTAATTGTATCATCATTATATTTTTATTATCATTATAAGCGCTAATGCGCTAGTGGTTTTCTCAAATAAATAAATTTAAAATAAATTTTTTCAGCCATAAATTTAAATAAGTATTTAATTACTGTAGTTTTTAATTTATTCAGACAATTTTAATTTAGAAAATATAAATTATTTAAATAAATTTTATTAAATTTTTTTTTCAGTCATTCTTAAAAATTAAAAATTAATTAATTATTTATTTAATTCTAAAAATATAATTTTTTTGTTTAATTAACAATTAAAACATTAAAATGCTTGTGTCAAACAAGTTTATTTTTAAGCTTTCTATTTAATTAATTTTTAATAAATAAATAAATAAATCTATTTTTGAAATATAAATTTTTGAATTATTTATTTAAAAATAAAACCTTTTATTTTTTAAATACGGAAATTAGTTATATATTTTTAATTTAAATTGTTTATGTTAATTTTAAAAAATTAAAAAAGTTTAGATATTTAAAATTTGTAACAAAAATCTATGTCTTTCTAAAGGGCTTCTTTCGGATTTTTTTCTTGATTTTTGAAAAATTTTCTCAAATCAAATAAAATTTTCCCTCATTCAGCTAGAAAAATAATTTTTTATTAAATTATTGTTTTTTTCGAGTTTTCTAAAGAATTATGATTAATAGTTTTTATTAAATAAAATTTTTAAATTAAATTTAAAAATTATTTTCGTATTTATTTATAATTATATTTATTTTTACATAATACGTTTATTGTTAATTGTTATATTTATTTAATTATAATGATTAACTTTAAATATGTAATTATTTTCACACACACAAAATTTGGAAATTAAAAATAGATTTACTTATTTATCTACAAAATTTTCTCTTTAATTATTAGTTAATATTCCCAAATAACAATTTTTTTTATTTTTGAAACTAAAAAAATATTTTTTTAGAATTTTTAGCTTCAATTTAAAAATGAACGGATCAGAATATTCTTGTCTATTAATTTTAAACATAACAGAATTAATTATTCATTTATTAGCTACTTGCCCAATTTCTACTTTTAATTTTATTTTAATTTTAAAAACTTCTTTAATTCACAAAAATTTAAAATTTATTTTGTTATGTCAAAGTTTTTGTATTTTTTGTAGAAGTTTGGGTAATTTAGAAATAATTAAATAAAAGAATAATTTCTTTAAAAAGGTCGAATTCTTGTTTTGTCCTCTAAATTAATTAGTGGAGATATTCTTTGGGGAGGCCCTGAAGAATTTGTTTTAATCTTTGGGTTTGCTGCTTTTTTCAGAAATTTTGTAGCACATGTACTGGTTATTGAAAGGGCTTTAGCTACTTATTTTGTTAAAAATTATGAAAATTGGAAGAAGCCATATTTTAATTTTATTTGGTTTCCAATTGTTGTAAGTGTTTTTAAAGTTTTGTAAAAATTGATTGAAATATTTTATTAATTATTATAGCAAGGTATAGGTAAATTAATTGATATAGCCCTTAAATATCTTAAAAAGCGGAAGGTGGTAGAAAGAGAAGATAAACAGAAAGATAATTTAAGCATACGTTAGACTCATCTCTAATATGTAGCAGATTAGGGATATAAATTTTAAATTAATTAATTAAAATATTTTTCAGTTTATTCTTGCATTATTAAATTCCCTCAATTCTGTCAGCAGTATAATTCTTAATTTGGCAACTTGGAGTTTTGTACTTATCTTCGCAATATTAGAGATTATAATATTTACTTGGATGTGGCATTATAACGATAAAATATTTCAAAATCAGTTATTTTTTAGACATAGTCTTACTGAAAGATATCAGGTTAACAAAAAAATATTTTAAAATGAAATAAATAAAACCCCTTAAATTACAAAAAATATAAATATTTTCCCCCTTTTAGAGTAAAAAAATTGTTTATTAAACTGATAGCTAGTAGAAAAAATTTTTAAAAGATTATACATATTTTAATTTAAACATAGTTAGTAGAAAATATTCGAACAGCAAAACAATTAACTCCAACATTATTAATTCATTTTTTTAATATTTTAATTGGGGCATTAATTAATTGGGCTTTTTATCTGCAAATTTTTGGAACTAAAGCAACATCTCCATCAGCAACATTTTATTATGGATTGTTGGATGCTTTGTTTTATTGTACAATTGCTTGTACTAATTTTGCGATTGAATTAACTATGATATTGTTAGTTGAGAATAATTTTTAAAAATTCGGAATTTTATTTTTATTTTGGGAAAATATTTAGAACGACAAAAAAGAAATTTTAGTTTTAAACCCTTTTTTTAATTCAAAAATTTTGCGATTTTTTGTTAAAATTGAAAAAATAATTTCTTTCCCCCGATCCGATTTGAAAATTTTAAAACAGAATGACTGATTTTCAGTTTTGACCAGCCCCTGTTAGAATTAGGGCAACTATTCTTCTTGTCTTTTAACGGTCACAAATCCGATTAAAAAATATTCTTTTACAGAATTTCTCAGAACCAGAAAATTACATTCCATCCCCCCCCCTCTCAACAGATTTTTTACTTTAAAAGAAGAATATTCGAAACAATTTTTAAAATTAATTAATTTTATTTTAACAGAAATCATCCATATCTTCGTCGCAACTTTTTTTCATTTTTGTTTAAATCAAAATCATTAATATTTAAAATAAAATCCCCAACAAATACAAGAATTGGCCCCTCAACATCGCCACCAATTAATGCGTATTTTTATAACGGATTTTCTTTACAAAATGAAGCAAAAATAAAATTGGGTGGAAATGAAGCTGAAAAACATTTTGAACAATTAAAAAGAACTTGGGAAATTACCGATAACAGAAGAATAAAAAAATAAAATTTTTTAAATGTATTTTTGTAGTGTACTTATATTTTGAAAATTCTCCCCCCTCCTTTTTTTTACTTAAAATTGAACTTTTTGTACTTACACAACATTTTTTACGATTGGAGCCCTCAAATTTATTATTGATAAAAAATAAAAAGGTATATTGTTGTAGTATAAGAAAGGAAAGTTATGAGATTTAAAAATTCTAAGGAATTTTTAAAAATACTTGAATGTTTTTTAATTTAAATTTTAAAGACAATAACTTTACAAAAAATCCAAGGACAGCACCAATTTTTAAAAAATTCTGTCTAGGGTTTTTTTTCACTTTTTAAAGACATTTAGTTTATTTAAAATATTTTATTCAATCACCTGACATTGATTACCAACTTTTTTTCCCTTTAATATATCGCCAAGCGGGGAACATTAACATTATTACTAACGTCGTCTCACTTTAATGCAGCAGCAATTTATTTTAATTGCGGGGGAAATACTCTCCTTCTACTATTTAAAATTAAAGGGAATCACCAATTCATTTACTTTTTTTTTTAAAAATATTTTTTGGTAAACCAGTTAATTTACGGGGAAATTTTTTAATTAATTAATATATTGGGAATTCCCAATTATTAAATCATTTATTACTTGTAATATTAAATGTATGTACATGTTCGCCCATTTTGATCACTCCAAAGTTTTGTTATATTTAAATATTTTTGAAAACAAAATTTTCTTTCATTTAATTTTTAATTTTAATTTTTATCTGTTAATAGAGATTGAATATTTTTAATTTCTAATTAACATTTTGCCGAATATTTTTAACTTAATTCTTTTCTAAAATATTTTTTTATTTTTGTCAGATAATAATTAATTAATGAATTTATCTTCAATTATTAAAAATAAAATAAAAAATATTTTATAAAGAGTACTTTTAATAATCAAATGCTAATTGGCCAAAATAAGGAAAAGTTGGAAATAAATAAAACAATTTATTCCTTCCAATCAAAACTGCCGGAATTTGCACAACTAGAAAAGAGTGCATTTGGATTTTTTGACACGATTGAGCCAATTCTTTCCCTAAACGATTGGACTTCTCTTTCTGTGATTTGTTTTGGTAAGAGATTAATAATTTTTTGAAAGTTGGGGAAAGATTAGCTAAAAATTATTTAAAAATACATTAGGATTGTAAGGATGATTCACCTAGAGCATTTAAAACGCTTAGGCGGAGGTTAAGCATTAGTCGATGCCACGGTAGCTCAATAGTAGAGGAGCTCCTGTATGTGAGTGAAAGCGCCTAGCAATAACTACGAGGAGGTCGCATGTTCAAATCCTCCCTGGCGGCTAAACTAACTCTTTCTGTATTTTTAAATAGAAAGCTACAAAATAGAAGACTATCATAAATTTTCTTTAAAATAAATATTTTGTTTTTAGGAGTCTGCGAATTACAGCTTCGTTGCCGTTACTCTGAATACATTCAGTAAATAATTAAAAAAAAAGGAAAAACAAATTCGGGTAAATATTTACAATATTTACTAATTAAAAAATAATTATTTATTTCAGCCAAGGAAAACAAAAATATTTTCTTTTCTCTCCTCAAAAATGTCCATAATACCTCCATTATGTAATCCTGTCCATGCAAGCCTTGTAGGTAGCCAAATGGATAAAAACAATATTTCTTCAACAGGAAATGCCAAAATAAATGTTGGCACTCCCACAATTCTTCAAGAATCGGAAAAAGCCGCAGCTATGTTTATTCCCAAAACTTTGGGACAAACTAACTTTGAGGTGTGTGACTAGATATTTTGGATGTTTTATTAAAAACATTTTTTTGGAAATTTTGTTACAAATTAATTTATAGTTTCATTCAGAAGTTGCTTAAAGACAAGTGTTTCTCTTCGATGAATATTTCTGCGTCGACTGCTGCTGGATTTTTTTCGAATTTTGAGCCTCCAAAAATCATGAACTTTTCTAATATGCATAATCATTAATAAATAATAATTTGCAAATAATGATTGATTGATGGGGGGAATTTTTTAAAATAAATAAATATATTATGCGATTAAAATATGTACTCTATACATACATATATCATAAACTCAAATAAATTTATTGATTCAATGTTATTGTTTTATGAAAGTTAAATTATCATTTAATTATCAAAAATTATCACTTATATTATGGTAATTAACAAATGAATTTTGAAATAACGGAAGGAGTAGGGGTTGTTTATTGTTGTTTTTAAATTCTAAATTCCTTATTTTTTTAAACTTTAAAAAATAATTATTTAACGTGAAAAAAACATGTTTATTTTTATTTTTCACTAAAATAAAGAGCCCATTTTTTGATTTATTATCAAATAACGAAAATAAAATGAACAACCTAAAGAATAAAAAAATAAATTTTAGTTTACGTTTTAAAATGGGAAAAAATGGGTAGGTATATTTAGGGGTATTTCAGAAAATTTAGGAAATTAGAGAGTAATTTTAAATTTTTTTGAATTTATTTTATAGTATAATTACGGAGCAGTTCAACTGAGTCCGCACGATTGAGTCCCCACGATTGAGTCCGCACGATTGAGTCCCCACGATTGAGTCCCGGCACAATTGAGTCCCCACGATTGAGTCCGCACGATTGAGTCCCCGTTGTATATACCTCAATTGAGTCCCCGTGGATTTAATTTTAAAAATTCCCGGTAGGGGACACTTGTGTACCGGCCGTTTGTGTACCGCCGGTTGTGTACCCACCCAAAGGGGGACGTTTGTGTACCCGCATTATTTTCCTAGATTTTTTTATTGTTTTTTTTTATTTTTTTGTTTTTCTTTTGGGGTTTGCAACTAATTTTGTTAATTAGTTGACCGAGCATCCACTCAAGTCCATCCGAGCACTGAATTTTCTCAATGAGGACGAGAGGGAGGACGAGAATCTTGTGTAGGTAAAAGTTTAATTTTTATTTTTTAATTTTAGATTTTATATTTCAGGTTGGTCTAACTTTGCTCATCACGTGTCGGACTTCATCCCACGGCTGCAACGATGGGAAATTTGAAAAGGTTTGGAATTTTTATTTTGTTTTTCGTTTTTATTTTTAAAATTTTTTAGTTGATTTTCGTCAGTTTCTGACTGGCGATTTTCAAGTTCACAGTTTCTGAAGGAACGAAGGTGGTGAACTTTCCCCTACCCTCCATAGCAGCACAAAAAGTTTTTCCAGCGAAGATTCTGTTGGTCAAAATTTGTTCAGAATCATTCAATCAACTTGATTTTGGTCTTATTCAACTCATCTCGTCGATCCCTTTCGAATGAGCTATTTTTTGTTTATTCGAATGTTTCGCAACAAAAATTCCCCATGGAATTCCACCAAAAAATCCACCATTTCGAGCCCCATATCTCGGCGAGAACTTGTTCAACAATGTTGATTTTCGTGTCATTCGACTCACTACTTTCGAATGAGCTGTCATTCAAAAAATCTCTCGATATCCCTCCTAATCCCCAAACCCACAATATCCATCTTAATCTCTCCGAATTTGTTGATATCTGCCTTAATTCAACCGATATCCCCGCTTAAATCTACTTATATCCCTTGATATTCACCAATATCCATCTTGATACCTCGATGTCGCATACAAGTCCCCTGATATTAACATTAATCCCTCCAAATCCCCAAATATCCCTCTTAATCTTTTTTAATATAATTAAATCCACAATATAATTAAATCCATAATTAAATCCACGGGGACTCAATTGAGGTATATACAACGGGGACTCAATCGTGCGGACTCAATCGTGGGGACTCAATTGTGCCGGGACTCAATCGTGGGGACTCAATCGTGCGGACTCAATCGTGGGGACTCAATCGTGCGGACTCAATTGAGGTGTACCGGTATAATTAACATTCTCTACTATTTATCACAAGAAAAGTGGGTAAATTTACTCCTATTTGACAGTTTAATTAACCTACACTTTATCTCTCCAATTTTCCAGATTAAATTAAGATTTTATTAGCTTCTCATTACTTGGGCATTTGATTTCCAGGGGCAGTTTTTCAGGATGTTTGTTTCTGGATTAACTCCGCAAAAAACACACCGATTTAAACAAACTAAAATAATTTTAAAGACACAAAAAAACAAATTTATTTATTATCTAATTAATTTGGCATTAAATAAAGAAAAACATGTACAATATGCATAAATATATAAAATTAATTAAGAGGCATTGAAAGAATTTATTTAATTAAATATTCACCAATTATTAATTTTGTTATTTAGCGCCATAAAATAAATTTGTGAAGAACTTCCCTTTGCTGAAGAAAAGAAAACTTTATCATTTCGTTCACACAAAAATTTTAATTTTTGTGCTTTTTTGTGCATAAAAACACCTAAAAAAGAGAAGAGAATTTAAATTTAATAATATTTATTACCATCCAAATGACCAGTTTCAACACTTCTAATTTCAATTGCTTTATTTCCCCAGCCCATGATTTGGTTGGTTGAAATATATGCTAAATAAATTGGGAAAATTTTAAATTTTTTTAATTTAAAATTTTTGGTTCCTTTTCGATATCCTAAATATTTTCCAACACTATTTGAATTAAAAAAATAATCTTTTCTTCTTGTCAATCAAAAAAAGCTTTTCCCCGTCCTTTAAAGTTGGGGGATTTGACTTTTTTTTGAATATTCCCCTCTCCTCTTTATCCCAAAAAATAATATTTTCTTTATTCAACTTACCAACAGAAGAAGGAATTTCACTCCATTGAAGTTGAACATTTTTTGTAATTTTTCCATAAGTATTAACATATACACCTTCATCTTTAATTAATTAATTAATTTTTTAAAAATATTTTTAAAAATATTTAACTATTATAGCAAAGAAGTAATTGCATTCCACAAGTATCAGGCAAAATAACAATACAATGAGGGGTTAATTCTTGATTGGCAATTGTTTGTGGAGGTGTATAAATGTCATAAATTGAGGCTAAAAAATATTTTTTTTTAATTTTTAAATTCGAAAAAAATTTTTTCCAAAAAAAGACCAGAATCCAAGTCAATAGCATGAAATCCAGTACCACTTCCATAAAGTACTTTAAGCCTAACATCCTCCTCAATAGTTAAATCAACAACTAAAGGGGAATGAGTAAGTTGACCAAAACTCTTAAAATAAAAAATATTTTCTGAATAATTTTGTCTGTAACTTTAAATGCCATAAATTTGCTGTATGGACGAGGAGCCCAAGCATAAATTGATAAAGAATTTTCTATACCAACAACTAAAAATTTTATACGTTGATGCCGGACTGTAAAAAATAAGATAATGATTTATATTTAATTTTAAATTATTTATTACCAATTTTAAAATGGCTAGCTCCCTGTAAATTTCCAACATTCATCCAACCATTTCTTTTATCCGATTGTTGTAACTTAAAAAGAGAAGAAAAATTAAATATAAATTTAAGAATAAAAAGTAAAGGGTTTATTCCCAGCTCACAAATGTAAAAAAAATTATAGATTCCTCTTGTCGGGATTGAATTCTGTCAAGTTCACTACTTTGAACTTTAAGCCTAACATCTACACCCACAGTTAAAATCACCTACTGTCAAAAAAAACTAGTGACGAAATCCCCAGCCGAAATCAAGCAATATCGGGATTAAATACCATCATAACAAAATTAAATTAAATAATAACCCCTTCAGTTCGAAGTATCTTCTGTTTAAGCCAAGACAAATAGTAGACCCGTATTCGACGTTTTTTGCCACTAATAGTGACCAAAATATTTTGACCTTCAAGAACAGTCATTTGATCAAAACGCCTTCGAGTAACCAAATGATAAACTTAAAAATAATATTTAGAAATTATTTAATAATTTTGCCAAACCTTTTCCTTGTCCACTTCTGTCTAATAACATTAAACCAGTGTCCGTTCCTGTTTAATTTGAAAAGATTTTTTAAAATTTTTATTTAAAAACCAATAAGTAAATTAACGCCCCAAAGAGCAGCACAAAGAATTTCTCCATTAAATCTTTTTTTGTATTTTCGAATTTCAGGTGCGTCTGCATCTGTTGGAGTAGCACCATCAGGGTTGACATTTACGTGTATCTGTTTATGAATATTTTTTGAAAGTAATTTAAAAAATACCTGGTTAGGATTAATTATTCTCCCAGGACGATTAATTGTACCTACAGCTCCAAACATTAATCCTCCTCCTGCTGCTCCACCACTCCCTGCTGAGGCTGAACCAAAAATTGGAGGTGATCCATGGGAACCTCCACCTCCAAAAGCTGGAGGCATAACACCAGACGGATAATTACCAAAAAAGCCGATAAAAGATTTTTCCCGTTCCCTCTGCTGAAATTTATCTGCAGGAGAGAATGAGGCAGGGGATTCAATTAGTGAATGTTGTTGTTCGATTGAAGAAGTGAACATCTTCAAAAAATTAAATGTCTGATTAAAAATAATTTCACTTGTAAAATCCCCTCCCCTCCCTCTACACACTTGATGAGGTGGTCGACGAAGAGTTTGTATAGGGTCTTCAACCATTTCCTCTTCTTCATCCTCATCTTCCTGTTGATGTTGTTCTTCATCCTCATCTCTTCCATCATCATTTCCTTGTTTATCATAAGGATTACGATTAATGTAGATAGCAGGAGCAGGTTCATGATTTTGAAGACAAGTAATTGATTCACAAGCATTTTTTGGCTGTTAATGAAGAAAATGTAAATATTTATTTATTTACCTTTTCAACTTCTATACTAGTGACTTCAACTTCATCTTCTTCTGAGTCAGAAGAATCTTCATCTTGTTCATGTTCAAATGCTGAATGTTGGCACTTAAAATATAAAATGTGATACATGTATATAAATACATATCATTATGGTATCCCTAAAAAATTCAAACTTCAGGCGCTGAAGATTGTTTTCCAATATTGGCCAATTGTTGGTTAAGGCTTGTACGCGAACCAGAAAGTAATAATCTATCAGAACGGACATGCAAAAGATTTGAACTA